TGCTCAGCCGAGCCGTTGGCGAAAAATGCCGGATGCAGACAAGGGATCGACCCTTCCCTTTACCGGATCATGGAATGTGGAGGTACCGTGTTGAGTCCATTTTCTAGATACGGACTAGACGGTGCATACGTACCTCCTTAACTCCCAAGTCGCATTGGAATAAACTGCATGCAAACACGAAGTCATGGTATGCTTCTGGTCTTTGCGCCTGATCGATCGAGGATTCTTCACGGCCACATGAAATCCGATCTATGAGGTGATACGAGGCCCGAATCCCGTGCATGAGAGGGAGGTGGGGAAGATTTCTGGAAGCTGGGCTGAAGAAATCGATCTGTGTTACACAATACCTTTCCTATATTGGCACTATGTCGTCGTCCTCGACAGGTACCTCGAGATAGGTAGCAGCAACTGAAGAACGAAACTGATTGCTGGCTCGGGTTCTATAAGGGGCCTCTGTACTTTGTTACCTCTATCCAATCCGATATGCGACGGAGGGACATCCAGACTTTCAATATCGACTTCCTAATGTGGCAATCGTAACGAGAATGTCGACTGCAGGACGAGGAAGTCTTCAATATCATGTATTGTAAGGCTAAACTCCCCGTGTAAGACAATCTTAAATTTTCGCCTGCCCAACAGACTAGCTGCAAGCAAGGGTGAGCTATCGTCGTGATCTGAAAACACCAAGAAACCGCAAGGGCAGAACTCAGAAGCTCCTAAGATAAAAATTTTTCTATTTTCCTTTTTATTTTATTTGTTTCTTATTTATATTTTTCATTTTATTCATTTTTTTTTTTTTTTTATTATTTATTTTTATTTTTCGAAACGCCATGAATTCCTCGGCGAAGTCAGAGTAATGCTAGAAAACATATTAAACCCCGACAAGAAGAGGAAGGTTCATCTGAAGTCTGGTAGACTAAGCTCCAGTCAACCATGGTACAAAGCTCCATGCTTCCGGAAAGACTGCATACCAGGCTGACCACCGCAGGTTGAAGGCGAAAGAGGCTTGCGAGAACCATCCGTCTTCTGTCTTCGGTTCACTTCACCTTACTGCGTTCCGCAGGAGGATGAATTCAGAAACCATGGGTTTGGTATTCCATGCAGGAAGGTGGCTCAGATTGCTAGCCTGCAGACTGTAAAGGACACGGAAGGAATCTGCGACGTTGAGGACATCAGAAAACCGCTGGGTCGCGATGAGACATGCATGGCACATCGCTCCCGGGCCTTTGGTAGGTACATGTCACTACCTTGGGCCTAAGTTACAATGTTGTGCCGCATCTGACCAATCATTATCATCAGTAGAAAATTACCAGTGTTAAGGAGATCAACTTACAAATGAATCAAAGAGTGCGGGTTTACTGGGAGTTATCAGGATTGACGTCGACCTTCAATGGTGATCCGCGAGGTATTGGATGGTTGTCGCTACTGTTAGATGAAGGTAATATAGGATTTCTGCTCCAACTGCTCGACTGCGACCGCCTCGATTAGCCTGGGGCTTCTGTGACCTACTTAATCCCTTTAACGGGCCGTTCTGCCCAATTTCCCAGGACTTGGTAGGCTAAATATGTTACAAGTAACGACTGGATTCATGATATCTCCAGAGAGCCGAAACTATCCTCCCCGAGCTCAATTTTGGACCATTGACCAATGTCATCATTGTCATGAGCTTTGTGATAACACCCCAAGTACTTTCAAAGAATGATTGAGTACTCAGTATGTTAAGAATTTGATTCCGCAGGCACTATCTCAGAGAAATGAAGTCTCTTAACAATGACTCATTATACTTTGGACCAGTATGGAATGCACATACTCACTGAAGTATCTAGGTACATATGACTACTGCAGGTATTTCCTATCTAGTACAAGTACATACTTGTACTTGTGTACTCCGTAAAAAGCACAGAGCATCGGCTCAGGTACTTAAAAGGGGCTAGTTCTCACGCGTGGATTTAGTGCTATTCCTGCACCTATGAGCCAATGGTCACCTGAATCATTTTCGAGTATTAGTCTGAACATATGTGTAGTAATCACTATGGCGTAGTAGAAATACCAGCTCAAGAGATCTTTATTTGAATGATTCCTTGAGGCTCTATCAACTTCTAATCGAATCAAAGGGCTGCTAAATTACCAAACATACAGTATTTACTGTATGTGGCAATAATCCACCTACTAGAGACGGAAAGACTCGAAGCAACGGGTTGGTGGAGTCCCGTCACGGCGCCTTTACCCGTCCCGGCGTATCCTCTAGCCAGGTAGCCAGGTAGCCAGGCCAGCCCAGTACTTACGGTGGTACCACTGGAGTTATGCACTACGCCATTTTAGTCTGTTTCCCAAGTTCCCAACTCCCCAGGTCAAACTTTATGTTTGCCGGGCTCCCCCCTCTTCAGGCTCAAGCCTGTGCGAAACTCGCTACCTAAGTGGCTGGCGGGACTGCCAAACGCCCAACCCGAAGGCTTACAGCAGTTCAGCTGATCCTCATGGAACCATGAATGCTTTAGCTGCGTCTTGGGAGAGTCCCCGTCCATGTCTATGGGTCACTGGCGCGCTGATTCGGACGGCCGGCCCACCTTGTCTTGCGCACCGCACCGTCTATCTTTCATTGGGTTCCCTAGTATCTAGGTACAATCAGAAGTCTTGTAGGCCCACTACTTTGTGTTATTCGCTGCTTGGTTTGGTTTTTGGTCTTACTTTGATCCAATATTATTATTATTGCAAATGATTCCAGCAATTCAACTATCCACAATATCTATCAATTTCCAATCATTGTGTAACCCCTTTCATCTTTGCTTCCTCATGATTGACATCTCACTTGGATGAAGAAATTAGTACTCGCATTCTTGGTTGGAGGCCAATGTCGGCTGCACGCTAGCAGTCTAGTTCAAAGTCCTTGGCGTGCCTGGAGCTTCCACATAGCTTCATTAATAATATTGCAGCACGGCTCACTAATCTAGAGCAAAATCTTTTAGTAGTCATTTTTAATCAGGATTTCATGCAGTTTTCCTCTTAGTCTCACCCTCTCAGATCTCCATCTTCGAGTGTTCCCGCCCGCCCGCTATCCGCCCAGCCGTGGCCACCCTGCGGTCGTCACGTGTTTTGCTTGACGTCCTCAAACGGTGATCCAGCCAAATTTTGTTTTCACTTTTTGCCTTCCGGACGGACCGATGAGTGGGCGATCCAGATATTCATATTTCTTGAGAGGTAAATAGTTCGTCTGGAAAACGAGGATATCGTTCGGATTGCAGCGCCAAGTCGCTTAGCTTGGATGACGCGCCACAGCTGTATGCTCAGGCTACGATAGCATCATCATCATTAATGTGAAAGAATGGAGCTGGTTAAGGTAGACATCTCGAGACAAGATATTGAAGAGGTAGCCACAATTTATCAGAAGGCGCACTTGAATGCTATGCACCTTCCAGGCCCTTATACGCCACCTCTTGCCAGTTTACAAAGTACTTCTGATGTCCTTGAAGATCGAGTGATCATCAGTCTCGTTCAGACTTCCTTTCTTATCGTTTTGTTGAATAGTGGAAGGTTTATCAGTGTGTTCTCTAGCCTCAGTTGCTCTTCTACCTTTCTCCTCCCTTGTTTTAAGGCATTGTTCGTCCCCATTGATGAGCTGACCTGACCAGTTGTCCTTCACATAAGCAGGTAGCTTTGGTGCTTTTTCTACCTCTTTGCATTTTTGATTATTTATACTGACACTTGCATCGCGCTACTGCCAGCCTCGGGGCTGCTAACTTCTTCCTGTTTGGTTTTTCCAGCAACTATCTGCGGAGTGCCAAGTAAGCAACGACTCTGCCTGTCCTTATTCCTTTCAATCTAATCCGTCGCTTCTCTTGCTCACTTTCTTATTGTTGTAAACATACTCTGTATTATTATCGCCAAATTTCCTTGCACTTTCCCTGGCTTCATCCCCCCTTTATTTCGGCTGCTTATGCATCTGGTCTCCACACTGGTTTATAGGTAATAAATTACAGTACATACTCGCTACAGTACTAAAAATTATTATTCAGGATTTTTATTTTATCCTTATTTTTATTATTTTGGCTTTTTTGCTCCATTTTTTCCCAATTTTTTCCATTTTTCTCTCCACCATCACTATGAATAATTATTATTATTTCTTTCATCCAACAAACAACACCTTAGACGTCCCCATCCGTACCATATTTGTGTACCTAGACTCCCTAGGAAGAACCACGGTTTCCTTCCCTTCCTGAGTATCATTGGAACCAGTCAAAGGCTCACGTCATAGCTAAATTCCCCCGAGGCTCTTCGCTTCGACTTATTTTCAATCCTCTTCTCATCTTTTCTATCTTTTTTTCCCCATTTGCTTTCTTCTTACTTCCCCGTTTCGCACCTCTTCTTTTACCATTCGATCATCTCTCCTATCTATACTTGCTTTCAGGTTCTTGGCTTGCAAAGAGGACATTCTCCTCTTCGTCCCGGCCTAGTATTTCCGCCGCTTTCTTCTCTTCAACTGTTTCCTTGACGGATTGGTTTTCCTTCGCTCATTCGCCTCTCCGGCTTCAGCGTGACCACGAGGCTATGCTAGCTTTGCAAATCACCCGACGGAAACTGGAACTCTTCTGATTTGGTCGTAACTGTGTTTACTGTGACCAGAACTTGGTCTCCGCATTTATTTTTTATTTTTTATTTTTTTTCCTTCCCACTTTCTTTTTTCTTTTTTCTTTTCCGTCATTATCCTGGTCATCTTACACAGTTACGAATCCACACGCAAAGAGAGACATACGTACATACAGATACACATACATACGGGCTGCATACATACATTTTACCGATACATACTCGCTCATACGTACGACCGGGCACACGCACTGTCACCAAGACCCCTGCTGTGTCTTTCCTTGACAAGTTGACCAAACAACAGCTTTGGGCGTGACTTGCGACTCACATCATCCTGCATTCGCCTCTTATTCTCAGCCCTTTCCCCCGTCCTTTTCCCGCTCTCTTAAGCAGCCTCGTCTCGTCCTCGCCTACAAATGTCCACCAACCCCCACGAATTTGGCGACCCTAATCGACAGGGACAGTATCCACCGCCTCCCCAGTGGAACTCTAGTCAGCCTGAGGATAATCCAGCTCCAGCTCACTATCCGCCAGCATCTCAATACCCTGTGAGTTTTATATATTCCGGCCTATCCTTCCCCGTCGCTTTCGTTGCACTATTTAGCTACATTCATGGCCAGACGACTTGCCGACTTGCCGCTAAGAGCTTTACCGTTTCTCGTTCCTGTTCACATCTACTCCATTGAGCAACTGAGCTTGACAAAAGCGCTTTCTTCATATTCAAAACTGACCGCTTCAGTATCCTCCGGCCTCCTATCCTCCCGCAGACCACCCGTATCCGCATCCACCACCACCCCCGTCACAGTTCCCGCCTACCTCCCACATGGCCACCATCCACCCTCATGTGCAAGGTGCTCAGGACCCTTACAGACTCCCTCCTCCTCCTGGCGCCTATCGCCCTCCGGATGTCTACGCTCAGCCAGCTCCTCCACCGCAGCCTCAAGTCGTATACCAAGCCGCAGCTCCTAGACAGCGGACCGCTATTGCCTGTCGTTACTGCCGCAGACGCAAGGTGCGTTCATTGCCAGAGGAGTGGTTGCTGGCACATTAGGATACCACTTGACAGAGCATTGCTGACAGTCGTTTTCTGATTCCGACAGATTCGATGCTCGGGATTCGAAAGTTCTCAGGATGGACGCTGCAGCAACTGTATCCGTTTCAACCAAGAGTGCATGTTCACTCCCGTTTCGTCCCAGGCACAGGCATTTGTACCGGCACACGCGGCCTATCCTCATCTCAGAAACCCTCAAAACGGCCGCGCTGGTCCTCCAGTGATGCTCTATGGAGCCCACGGCCAGCCTTTGCCGCCTCAGCAGCAGCCTCAGCCCCCTGCTGATACTACCCTTCCGCCGCCTCAAGGAATGTACCAACATCCGTACGGAACCGCACCGCCACCCCTTGCATCCGCTGTGCCCGCAGATCACGTAAGTTGCAAGTAGTTCCCATATTCATTGGAAGCTTGAAGACTCGGGGTGCCAATGATATTTTACAGAGACCTACCGGCCGCCGCGGCTCTGGCTCCGGCTTCGAGTATCCTGACCCGACCAACCTTGCGCCGGTAACCCCAGCAACATCAGCGCCTGCCTATCAGGCGCACCCCGCTCCCAGTCCTTACTACCCCCCTCCGCCGGGGCATGATCGGCGTCCCTCGCCGCAATCTGCCTACCCGTACGATAGCCGTCACTCCTCTTCCCCACACAGCTCACCATATCCTCCTCTACACACCGCTCCAACTGCGATGACTCCTCCACCGACCTCAACTCCTGGAGGTTCGGTCAGTTCGTCTCGAGGTGGTCTGAATGTTCGTGATATGTTGAACCCCGGTGACAGCCAGGGTCGTTCCAGCACCGATAGCGATATGCTAAATGCGCTGAATCGTCGGGGCCTCAACCAGTAAAGCACTCAAGCCGGAAATATAAAACCTACTGGCTGTAGGCCTTCAAATCTTGAGGGGTTGGTTGACAAGGTCCGAAGGTTCGCATAGACGGGATAAAATTGATACCACGTGGATGTCTGTTCACGCGGAGGTTTTCGTGCTGGTCACATCGTTTTCACATGATGCGCATAGATGGGTCTTTCTTTTGTCGCTTGAGGCAGCGTCGAACTTCAGTTGATCGAAAAAAGGGGGTTACTGATGGGCCGAACCCGTTACGTTCCGAAATTTTTGGAAATGGTCATGGCACGTTGTTTTTTGGTGATGCTCCCGAGACGACGGATTCCCAAGGAATAACGGATATTGGCGAACGTATCGGTTGGGCTATTTACTGAGGCGAAGAAGGCAAGTTGAAGTGGGGGGGCGGACAAGCAAAGTTTACGCGCGGCGAGAGCGTGAAAGGGTGAGTTAATGAGGAAGAGGGGGCTTCTTATTTCGAAGAGAGTGGATGAGGAGTCTTGGCCACAGCAATGCCATGATCAGAATCGCGACTTGAAACGAGTCCATGGAAACGAGAATCAAGAGTGTTATGAATTCCACGAATTAGACATTGGGATTGAGGGTCATGACTGTCTTCTGCCAGGGCTTTTCCCTTGACAGTACCGAGGAAGTCGGTGGTCTCACATTTTGCGACTTCTCTAACTTATCAAACCCCGTCTTTCCACGCCGCTTTATAAACCATAGGGGCGACCCACTAATGGATATTTCCTTCGGCTTTGTTTTCCTCTTGTTTTCTGCCTTGATGCATCGTCATGTTAATGATCCCTCTTCTCGCTGCTTTTCGTTTTCAGGCGCAGGTTCGGTAACTGTGACAGATTGCACGACCTAGCGATTTGTCTCATATTGCTCTGCGCTGGCATGTCTTCTCATGACTCTGTCCCCTTTGACTCTCTGGTCCCCTGGGGGATGTCTTTGGAAGCGTTTCTTTGACGCGTGCTCTATTGACATTGAGTGGTTAGCATTGCGCTGCATCGACCTGTTGATTTCGCATTATAATATTTCCTTCTCCGTTTCTCCCTATGCAGCGACGAGTGTTGGCGGCTTTTCTGATTATCCAGTGTTCATTACATTTCGGGTGGCTGTCTGTCTTCTGCGTTCCTGCCAAACGTTCTGTTCGTTGAGTTCTTTGCGTTTTGTTTCTCGGAGGTACTCACGTGTTTTCTGCAAAAATGGTGGTGGGCTTTTTGAACTATTTGTATTTCCTTTCCGTTTCTATCTGCTTCATATCTGGGTGGCTGTCTGATCAATTTTATATTGCGAATCTGTAACATGTTTAGTGTCTGATATCTTTGGGATTTGGCATTGTTCACGGTAGTAACGTGCCTGCCAGTCCTTTTGAATGGTCATATCGGTTTTTGGAGCTGTTCTCGGCATTGACTGACTGCTCTAGCTTAAGAGCCTTTGGGGACTGGGCCGCGCAATCGTGCCGTAGGGTACCTGTTCCATAGTCAACTTGATATTTCGGAAAGGGGAGATCCACACGCCACAGAACCAATTACGCTTAGCCAGCAAATATCGCGAAGCCTGGCATAGGCTTATAGTATAAACGATAGAACCAGTTCCCGGCCGCATGACAGTCCCCTGCAAAGGCGATGGCTGTGTACCGGAGTTCAACCGATGCTGTTCGCTCGAGTCAACATGGATATTCAATCGACGGACACTTCATGCAATGTGATGTCAACTCAGTGCCGCTTTGTAGATCTCAAGCAGAGGGATCCCAGCACATATGTAATCACAGCTGCTTCAAAAGTTTTAAAGCCGCAAGGCCCCACTCCACTAACGTAGTGGCCGAGGCGGCCCGTTGCTAAGGCTGCCTTGGGTGTTTGCACGTACTTAGCTGACTGGTAGTATTAGACACAGATGTTTCATATCACCCAGCAACACTTTCGATCCTTCCGCCTCTTCCCTTTCATCTACACAACGATTCTGCTCCTGATATGTCTTACATAACCATGGATTACATTCATCTTTTCTATCTAATTTACCGAACAACCCAATAACAAAGATTTATTGACACCGACACTGTCCATGCATGGAGCATCAACCCGCGACAGACGAGGAAATTGCTAATTTTGCCACTGATGAATGGCTCCGTGCAATCTGTCTGAAGATATCTGGGGTACATGAACAGTGGATAGCCAGCCGTTACCGACTAAGGGCGCAGTTTGGGTTTAATAAGCTCGAGGCTCGCACAGATGAAGCTCTGCGGGTTTCGATGAACCAGAGAGTGTTCATGCACTCATTGACTGCAAGGCTATAACTCGCAAGGAGGCTCTGCCAGCGGTGCAGTTCAAGGCCCGCAACGACAGAGTCCTTGAAGAAATGGAGCGAGCCGACCAGCAGTACGAAAAGGACAAGAACAAAGACATGGATCTCCTCGACTGCAGGGATACTTGGACATCAAAAACAAAGAAGTTTACGGGGTGCCTTCTAGCCTTGTTAGCTCACATCCGTTCATGAAATGCCTCAATGTGTTTAACAAGTGCCTATATGGACCAAGTAGAGTGATCCTAGCACATACGACCATAGGGTGTGGAAAACAGGGCTTCCCGTCCGCTCAGCCGTACTTAAGCCACACGCCGGCCGGTTAGTAGTTGGGTGGGTGACCACCAGCGAATCCCGGCTGTTGTATGTTTTTTGTTCACCTAGTGGTTCTTGCTTCAGGTTAGATAGTTATGGCATTGCTGCCTGGTTCCTGTACGACACGTCCCTCTCTACTGCCACCTACGATTCCATTACATCCAACCCCCATACCGCAATGGCTCAACCGGCTCAACCGGCCCAACCAGCCCAACCAGCAGACCCTGTAGATGGAAATCCTGACGTTATTAAGTTCTTCCATGACCCCTCTTGGACGACGCCTTGGTCACACCCTGAATTCACTGGTAGTGATCAGTATGCAGAGGCTGAGGACCATGGTTTTCCTGAGAGGCTTATACATGAGGGATACAAAAATGCGATCCTTGAGAACAAAGAACGCTGGGATGGTGCATCAATTGAGCAGATTCGCGAGGATTTCAAGAGCCTTGTTGCGTCTCAGGGTGCTAAGATAGGGGACGTTGTGCCGCGGTATGCAGTCTGCCTGGTCATTGACCAACATTGCCTGGATTCGATCATGCGTGCTTTTAACGATCCAGAGGAGAGCATGCACGGGGGTGGTCCAGGGAAGGGATTTGTTCTTATGATTGATCCTGAGTTTGTACCCGGACACAGAAAAGAAGGGTATTTTGGGTTTATGCGAGTTGAGATCAATGAGCTTTTTGGGCTGACGGTGGAGTTAAGCTCGTCATTTTTAATAAGTGATAGGTGTCTAAGGGTGCAACCAGGCAAGATACCAGTTTATGATGGCGGTCTTGGTTATGCAATTGATAATCCATCATGGACTGGACCTAAGCCAAGAACGCCCATCACTCACCGGTCAGTATGTAAAGGGGACTGTCATGAGCATTCGGGGATGCAGCCATGAACAGTAGCTACCAAGAGGCTCACTTTCTAGAACAAGGGATTTCATGCTGTAATGCATTATATGGTGCAGCACTGTACTGACATATTCTAACAGACGAATGAAAATGGATGTCAGATAATTAAGTAGCAAAGCATAATACAGGTAGATGATTATCGGTATTTCCTGGAGGTAACATGACAAGATGAAGCTAAATGATACATTGACAGCCAAACATAAGAAAGTGGATGTGATTGCAGGATGCCTATGGATGATCTTACAAGATGGTGAAAAGACCAAACAGTGGCAGAAACCAAAGAAAAGCCGCTCAAGATACAGAGATGGACCCAGGGGACGCGCAATGCGATGGATCAAACCACTATGCGCCGTAGGAACGGAAATGACAGCGTGATATGCTAAATTAACCATTCGGGAAAGCGTCAAGAATTCGTGCCATCTTTTTGGCACGATCATGATCCTCGACGAGTAGGCCTCGCTGTTTCAACACCATCTCCAGAGTGTCGACCACTTTGTGGAAGGACGATGCTGCGCCTCTTTCTTGCCTAAAGCGCACAAGACTGAGATTCGCCTGGCGGCCGTGCTCTAGGACAGTGTAGAACTCGGCGGAAAAGTCAACAGCTCGAAGACGGAGGCCTTTGAAGGGGTTAGAACCATCAAAAGTATCATCCAGGTTCTCACTTACAGTTCACTTCGCCCACTCTGGCACGAATGACACCGTTGCCTTTGTCCAAGTGCGCCTCCTCCATACCAAACTGTTTCCATTCCCGCAGTAGCTTCAAAACGTCCTTTCTACCTTTTAGTTTCGATGTGTTGAGAGCTACTACTCTTGATGCTGGCTTGATCTGGAAGACCCGCGCGAACCAGTTCTGACTCTTTCCGTTTGTTTTTGGCCCAGCGGGTACAGGCTTCTGGTTCTTCTCGGTGTCAAAAGAGCGTTCGGTTTCCGCTGGTCGCTTGAGAAGGGGGTTAGTGTCTGCAAAGTCGACTTCTGAACATAATAGTCAGCTGGAGGGATCGTTGAGGTCCAAGGATAGAGAAGCCTACCTGTTGCACCATTATCGAAGTTGTCGCTGTGTCGCTTCTTCATAAACTTCTTAAAAAAGCCACCCTTCTTGTTGTCGGAAGTGCCTTTCGTATCCTTGGGCTTTTCAGTCTGGTCACCCGGTCCAGGGTCAACTGAAGGATCGATCTCATGGACAACTACTGTGGCAGAACTCGGCTGTACGGCTTTGACAAGAGGCGTCTTCATTTTAGTCTCGGTAGACCCCTGCGATCTGTTCCGAAACCAAGACCATTTCTTGTTCTCGGAGGTTTTTGTATCGGACATCCCGGACGACTTGGGCACTTCTTGAATCGGGTCCAATTCTGAGAGGAAACGAGTCTGACGAGAGTCGGCGGACGCATAGCGCTGCGAAGAGCGAATCGGTCTGCCGCTTTCATCCTTGCATTTACTTTCCTCGCTGGGTTGAGGAGGCTCTTTTGAGACTTGTCTCTTCTTCCGGATATTCAATGGCTTAACCTCCTCCAAGCACTGTTGAGAACTATGAGGAACCATTCGGATTGTGGCTTTCCCATCACCGCTTTGACGTTTCGTCCGAATAGAACTGGCGGAGTCGGAATTGTGCCTTGTTACGTGTTGGCTGTTACTCATCTCGTTCTCGCTCGCCAAGGAGTTGCTGAGTTCTTCCGAAATGATCGGAAGGTTACCAGTCTCGAGTGAAGACCTCTGACGAGGGTCGTATGTAGAGTCGCCGTTGTCCTTAATCTTGTCTCGCTTCCCGCGCTCCCTTATTCTGTCCTGCGCAATGAGACGATCAAGATGATTGATAACAGCGGACAGATAGCCTGGAACATTCCCAGTGCCGTCCTGGGTTGAGTGCTGTATTAGCTTACGACGAGTCTCGGTCAGCTCTGTCGCAGTATAGGACTTGGGTGATTCTCCTGGCATGATGGATGGCTGGTTCGATTTGATGTTGCTTCCCGTAATTTGATTTTGCGAGTCTCCAGCACTCACCATGGAAAGAGAAGTCGCTGGTGTCTCTGATCCAATGCTGGCCGTACACCCTGTCGATAAGGATCCGCCATTGAAAGCTTCTTCACATATCTGGCTGAGTTCATGAGAGACCTTGCGCGCTTCGTCTCTCCAGATAATGTCAGCGTCGCAAACTCTCTTGACTTGAGGGCAGTTTTTAATAGTAACCCCAGCTCCTCTAACTACTATAGGTGGTACCGGCAGTAAAGGGCTGCCACAGCGGTCTGAGAAGGGGACGCCGTCCACGTCAGACTTTATGCTGCATTCGCTTTCTTGTCTGCTAATGCTCGAGGCATTTGGCGTCTTCTTCGGTCTTGCAGACATAGATCCTTGTGAGCGATTCCGGTGGTGAAGAAATAGAACGTTCCTCTTATAGCTGGCAGAGCGGGGTGTAGGTGTCGTATTTGTAACCCGACGAGCAGATGAGTGGGAAGCCCTTGACTGAAAAGACCTGGTGAAGCTGGCCTTTGACTTCTTGTTGGGCACTATGGAGAAAGGTGAGCTTGGCAGACACTCTATATCCTCAACTGCTTCTTCTTTTATGTCATCTTCTAATTCCGGAACAGCTTCCGAGACATCTTTGGTATTTGCTTCAGGGCCCTTCCGATGAATGGTAACCTGAGCGTACTGCACTTCGGGAGTGGCGACTATATGGTGTGGAGACCTGAACGGGTCATAACTCTTCTCGGTTGCTGAGGATTTGAGGGCCCTGGGTGTACTTTGAGGCTGTTTGCCGCTGCTTGCTGTCGTTGAATTTTGACCTTGCCTCCGAGAACCACCTTGCACCCGGGCATGCTTGCGCCTGTTTGCAACGGAAGCTGGTAATCGAGAGATGTGGTGGTAATCACTGGCTGAATACTCGAGAGGCTGTCCCTGGTAATTCTCTAGCTGTTCGTTTCTGAACTTGATTAGAGCATTGTAAAACATTCGTTCCTGGGTGGGCCTGTCGCAAGGTGCCTGGTCAGCTCTTCGTGTCGTAGCTCTTCGAGTAGGAATGGACACTCACTGAGGATTTAAAACTCGCTCTATCAGGGCCTCTGTTTTGACGCCATGCCACAATGTCTGCAGATTTCTCAAAATATCAATATCAATATCCTGTCTGCTGAGTACTGGCGGCCCGCAATCCTGTGCCGTCAACGGTGGTGCAGGGCCGAGGTAGTGATGTGACATTGCCTGATGGAACTGTTCGTACTTCTTTAGAAGTGGATGCATCCATATTCCATGCATCGTTATGCGGTCTTCTGGTCTCTTCTGCAGGATGCGCTGAATAAGATCGGCCGCTTCGACACTCAACTCGGCGGGGATGGTGTATTCGCCTCGCTTCACCTGTCGCAAAGTACTTGGAAGATCCCCGCCGTCGAATGGCAAGTAGCCCGTTAGCAGTGCATACAGAATGATGCCACAACTCCAGATGTCTGCCTTGTCTCCCCGGTACTTTCGACCATAGATGATCTCCGGCGCAGCATAATGCGGGCTTCCGCAGGAAGTATTCAACCAATGTCCGGCTGGCTGAAGCGCAGCCATACCGAAGTCAGCAAGTTTGACATTGCGCCAGGAGTCCAGCAGTATATTCTCCGGCTTCAGGTCCCGATGACAGATGTTGAACCTGTGGCAGTATCCAAGTCCTGCAATTATCTGTCGAAACAAGCGAACTGCCTCTTCCTCCGGCAACGGTCCGTGGTTTTGTACATAATGGAATAGCTCGCCGCCTTGGACATACTCTAGAACCAGGTATCTAGAGACGAAAGGTCAGTTGCTGATAGTATACACTTGAGCTTGGACTTACAGTTCTCCCCGGTTCTCCCACACGTCGTACAGGCTGATCACGTTTGGATGCTCGATGAGTTTCATGATGACCACCTCCCGCTCAATGCCAGACGGCATTTGTCTGGTGCCCGTACCACTAAAGAGGCTTGCATTGCGGTCCATTGCTGCAATGCTTTCGCTCTGGGCAATTGCGGCAGACCTCTTCGATACAATCTTGATGGCTGCGGTCTGGCCGGTGACTGCATGTTTGGCCAATCTTACACGGCCCGTGGCCCCTTCCCCCAGTGTCTTTCCCAATTGCCATGGCCCAACATGTGTTTTCCTTTTCCCCTTCCCAGAAACATTAGAAGTCGTAGAGACCGCTGAGTTTCTTTTCGAGCCGGCTTGAGAGTTTGGATTTGGAGAGGCGCGGTTTATCTCCACATTGTCTCTGGTTGCCAACGGGCTTGTGACGATAGACATTCGGTCTGGTGTTTTCAGCAGATCTTCTACTTCGATATGTGATCCTTTTTCAGTTTTTGGCGTAGCGCAGTTGTTCAGTCTATGCGTGGCATCCGTCAGAGGAGGACGGAATGACTGAGGACTGGCGGTAATCCCATCCATCGCCAGGCAAGCCCGGGCTAATGAAGCGAGACAGGCTTGTTGCAATACCACATGTGGAGATGCTCTCTGCTATTTGCGATGATATAGTTTGCTTGGGGCTGATTTCGGTGACTAGTCAGCGAATGTGGCTTGCGATATCTCTAGTCATGAGTATGACGGACTAACATTCAATCGGATGTGTTGGCCGGGTATTGTTGCTCGTTGGGACAGCTACCTTCTGAGACGTAAAGACGAGGCTGTAGCGGCAGGCACTAGATATGGGGCGCTCTGGAGTGGACGACTGTCAATAGTAAAGCTGGAGTATCAGTTCCTTCTTCTTCCCGTATTGGTTGCGTTGAATATCCCGCGTCTCGGGCTCAAAAGAGATGATGAGGCGCAAGTGAAGAAATAAAGCGAGGGTCGCAGCAGGACTCGAG